AGCCCGGAAGCAGGGACAAGACAGGGCTCAAGGGACGGAGTCTGGCCTGGCCTCCAGAAGGAACAGAGCAGTCAGCCTGGGCCTTGAGAGACTGGGAAAATTTTAAGAGAAGAAGAGCCCTGAAGCTCAGGGGGTCGGAGGGACCCGTGTGATGGAAGGCCTGGAGGGTGGGGTGACCCTGGCACGTTGCGATTCAGGGATGAGGGGAGCAGTGGGGAGGGCAGGGCTGGGGAGTGGGCAAGGGTGCAGGGGCTGGGTGGAGGGCTGGGCTTCAGCTTCCTGGAGTCCTGAGGTCAGGCTTCAGCTGTGGCTGCCAGGACGGGCGCACTGTGGGGCAAAGCACAGGCTGGATCACCGTCAGAATGGGGCTGGGCAGGGAGCCAAAGGAAGGAACCTCGGGAGGGTCCCTGCACCTGGTGGGGCCACCCTGGGAAGAGGACACTGAGGAGCTTCTCAGGGACCAGCCAGGATCGCCGCCCCCCTTCCCCAGGCCCAGCCCACGGAATGCTGAAGATTGTCTAGTGGATGGAGGAGTGAGTGTTCGGAAGGTTTTCCAGGAACAGTGTGCTAGATGGATAATGGTTTGGTCACTTTTCACTTCACTTTCTTGAGAAGGTTTATATTTCCCACCCCGGGGTGTAGACTTAGCCGTGTGGTAAGCAGAATTCTAACGGGCCCCCAAGATTCCTGACCTGTAGTTATTCAATGAAACACTAATACTGCGGGAAGAGTTTTGTGGATGTAATTAAAGTCCCACATCAGCTGCACTTCAGTTACAGAGATGTTCCAGGTGGGCCTGACCCAGTCAGGTGAGCCCACTCAGAGCAGAGCATTTGCCCTGGTCAGCAGCAGCAAAGGATGTCAAAAAGCGCCGAAGCACAAGGAGGACACACGGCACCATCTGCATAGCTTGCAGATGGAGAGGCCACGTGACGGGCAGCTTCCAAAAGCTGGGAGCACCCCTGACTGAGAGCCAGCTAGGAAACAGGGCCCTCAGCACTCCAAGGCCATGGAATGATCCTCCAACCACAAGAGCAGGAGTGAGGCTGGAAGAGTAGCCCCAGCTCCAGAGAATGCAGCCAGCTGACGCCTTGCTCTCTGCCTGGGCAGAGAACCCATCACATCGCGCTGGACTTCTGGCCTACAGACTGTAGAATACTAGATGGGCATTGTCTGTGTGCCCTTCCTATTGGAGTCACCTCCTGAAGTCACCATGCCCTGCTGGGCAGTCTCCTTGGGAAGGTTTCCTCCAAGAAAGCCGGAGCCCTGTGGCCGTTCCCTGGCTCCTAGGGATGGCCTTGCCTCTGCCCAGCCAAATTCTGCCGGTGCAGACCACCCAGAGTGGTGGGTTCTCCTCTCTCCGCAGCACAGGCAGCCCCGGCAGGCCTCTTGGCCTTCAGTCTCTCCAGGACGGTGCAGGGCACCTGCCCCCAAACTCAGGGAACACAGGCCAGGTACCCTCAAGAGCCCCTCTGATTGCCTGGCAGCCATTTCCCACCCCTGGGGCGTGGAGGGGAGAGGAGCAGCTGTACGAGATCTTTCCAGAGGAATCCTTGCTTCTGTCACCCACCAGCTGGAGGTAGGTGACTGGGCCACACGCATGGAGCCCACGCCGGCCACCACTTAACAAGCCTTGCAGGACCACCCGGCCCCTCGCTTAGGACAGGGGCAGCTGCACTCCTGTTATTACTAGCTTTGGGCCTCAGCTCAGGCCAGGACCTCTCCCTGCCCTTTTAAAATTTACTTTGAAACAACCTCAACTTTACAAAAAGTAAAGCAATGTGCAGTACACATTACCTTTCTCCCCTAAGTGGTTTGAAAATAAGGTGCCTACATGATACCACATCTCTCTGGAAGTGGAGTGATGTGCATTTCCTCTAATATTAATGCATCCTCCTCCATAGCCAGCAAAATCGGCACGTTAACACTGACCTACAACCACCAGTCTTCAGACCCCACCCACTTTCACCAGCTGCGCCAGCAACGTGCTGTATAGCAAAAGGACCCGGTTTTCTGGATCGTGCGTCTCACTTGGTTGTCACATTATGGGACAGTTCCTGGTCTTTCCTGGCCTTGTCACTTTTGAGATGACAGGCCAGTATTTGGTAGAATGTCCCTCAAACGTTCCTAGAGATTGGATTCAGGCTGGCGTCTGACTGATGGTCCCTCTCGGTGCACCCTATCGAGTGGACTCAGTTTTGATTTGTTCCATGGCTGTTGTTCACTTTGACCAGGTGACGAAGGTGGTGTCTGCCAGGTTTCTCCACGGTAAAATTACTCTTTTCCCTTTGTAATTAATAACTATGTGGGAAGGTATTATGAGACTATGTAAATATCCCGTCCCTCATTAAATTTTCAATTCATTCACTTATGTCAGCATGGATTCATGGTTTCCTATTTCTTTCAGTGGGTTATAAACTGCTACTATCATTATTTATTTAGATGTTCAGATTGCCCCAGATTTGGCCAGTGGGAGAGCCCCTTTGAGCTGGTTTGTCACAGCTCTGGTCTCCCCTACACTGTTCCAGCCTGTTTCTGGCTGTTGCTCAGGCAAAAGTGTGCCTGGATAACCTTGACATCTACCCTTCCACTCTCTGGGCTTCCTGCAGCACCCCCAAGACTCTAGAGCTGCATCCTGAGCATGCATTTCCTGTCGTTGCTGATTGAAACGTGACAGGCTGGACCTTGGCTGGAGGGCAGACCTCAGCCCCTGGCCCTGGTTGAAGCAGAGTGGGATGAGCCAGTAGCCGCCTGGAGCCCCCACCTGCCAGTACACTGATTCAAAGGGGGTCTATGCAGTTTCTTTGGGTGTGGGTGGAGGACCCGGCTCATTCCCAGGGCTAGGATCTGCCCTCCTCCTGGGCTGTGACTGCTCCAGGCCTCAAACCCTGACATCTTCTATGTGGGTCTTCCCTGTTGTCCCAGGAGAGAGCATTGCTCAGTGTGGCTCTGCAGCCACTTGCAGGCAGCCTGTGATTTTCAGGGACAGTAGGGGATGGAGAAGGCCTGGTGGCAGCTATGCCACAATGGAGCACATGTGGGCAGAGTCTGGAGGAACAAGAGAGGGCTGCTGAGTCAGAACTAGGAAGAGAAGCTGAGGGACACCAGGAGCCGACATGGGGAGGGGGTTGGGCCTGGGAAGCCAGACTCAGAGCGGATGGCAGCTGGCCTGAGCACCCACAACTTGTGGCTTCAGTTCCTGTGGATCTCCAGACATTGCCTAGTGTGGGGCTCTGGTGACAGACATAGGGGCCCCCCAGCTTTCAGGACCAGTGTGCATGGCCCAAATGAGATTCTGGGGGGTCCACCTGAAGGCTGCAATTCCTGTGGGTTCCCGGAGGGGGTTTCAGGCCTTCTCTTCTTTCCCCAGCCGCCTCCTGTGGGGAGGGGTCTCAGGGCAGAAGGGCCGCGGCCCCTCGCGAGGTTCGGAGCCCAGGTTCCGGCTGTGCAGAGGCCCGGAGCTCAAGGCTAATTGTGAATTAGGAGCCCAATTATGCCCGGCACAATTGGCTCCGCGCTGCCTCCTCTTCCCGACAGACATGTATATTAATAGTTGGCACTTATTGAACCAAATATGAATATTCATCTTCATTTATATTTCAAGGCCTTTCCTCCTGGAGGCCCGCGGGGCTGCGACCAGCTCCAGCCCCATCACGGAGCTGACAGCTCACACTCCCGGGCCCTGACTCCTGGCTCGGCAGCCGCGGGCGGGCTCCCAGCTGTCCACAAACACTCATTTGGGGGCCGGGCCCAGCGAGCTGCGGAGAATGTGTAATCGCGCCGTGCGCTGCTAATTAGGGAGCTGATGGGGCATTGAGGGCGAGAGGACGAATTCTTTAAACAGAGGACGGGAAACTTGAAGAGCTGTAATTACTTGGAGCAGAGTTCATTTCAGAACTTGGGAGCCAATGGGTCTGATGACAGGGCTGCTGGGAGGAGGGTGACAGCTGGGCCTGGGCACCCAGTACTCCAGGCGGCACAGCTGGGGCTGCAGCAACTCCACCTTTATTTTGTTTAATGCCATCCAGCTGTGTGGGCGCCGCCCCTTTCAGGGACAGCTTCCTCTGTCTCGGTTGGGTTTGGGGCTCGCTGCTGCCTCCCTTGCCCAGTCACGGCCCTGGGCATCTGGGGTCATGCCAGGCACTCTGAGTTTCACCCAGGGTTTAGGACCTCCATGACAGTCACCACTGCCCAGAACCCTGAGCAGAGTCCAGCTGTGTGACCGCCAATGACCCTCTTTCCTGGACCCAGCAGAGGTGAGGGTCTTCAGGCTCCCCACACATAGGCTGTGTGACAGGCATTGCTATGAACAGAGGAAAAGTTTAGAGACTTTCTCCAGAACCTCCCAGGCGTCACCAAAAGCCTTAGATCCTTTATAGGAAGTGCCACCTCCTGGGTGCTCTACTGTTCCTAATCTGCTTCCTCCAGCCCTAAGACTCACTCCTAGCCACAGGTCTCCTTTAAATCTCCCTGAGAGCCCACTCACCCAGGAAAGCCTGGCCACCATCAGCAGGACAGGCTGCCCTGCCCTGCCCCCTTCCGTCCTCCCCAGCACAGGGTCCCTCTTCAATCAGTCCTTCTGGAGCAGCTTGGGGCACACTTGTCCCCTCCCCTTCCAGACCCAATGCCACTCAGGTCTCGCAGGAGAGCTGTGGGCAGAAAGAGCTCCAGGCTCAGGGTCAAAGGTGGATGTGGGGCCTCCCAGGTGGGCTCCCCTGTCTGTGTTCCCACTGGGGTGAGCTCTGTGCCCAATGGTTCCTGTAACTAATGGGCAGATGATCCCATTAAATGTGTGCCTACCCCCACAACCCCCGCCCAATTTATAGCAGCTGTTAGATCCAAATCCATAGTCCTGGCTCAAACTGCATTTTTAAGGTCTCTGGTTTTCCTGCAGAAGAGAGTTGTCATAGTGATGATGACAGTGACAGTGATAGTGACAAAAACTACCATTATGGAGCACTTCCTGTGTGCTGGGCTCTGGTCTAACTTATGTGTATGAGCTCATTCAATCCCCACAGTAACCCTAAGTGGATATTATTATTACTTATTATCCCCATTTTGCAGGTGAAGAAGTGGAGGTTCAGGAAAGGTTGGTGGCTGTTGGTAAATGGCAGAGCAGGGATTTGAGCTCCAGTCTGGCCCCAGAGGCTGCTCTTGCTAGCCCCAGCCCTTGACTGCAGCTGGAGGGCCAGGCCTAGGGCTTCTACTCAGACTGGACAGAGAGAGGAAGGAAAGCCCTATTGGGCAGGCTGTGAGGACAGGGTCAGAGGACAGCCAAGTCACTCCTCAGGGGCTCAATCAGCTGGGCACGGGCTCTGGGGCTGGGGGGACTCTGGGTAGCACTTTCCTCACTTCTGCCTAGAGCTGTGCTGTCCAGCACTGTAGCCACTGACCCCATGTGCCTGTTTAAATGAATTAGAGAAAATTACAAATTCGATTCCTCAGTCACACAGCCGCGTTTCCACGTATAATAGTCACATGTGGACTATTAACCTCCACAATTGTATGAGTCACCCCATACTGAATGCATGGGGCCTGCCCAGCTTGAGGCAGAACTTTCAGTCCAAAACCCTCAGGAATCTTCTCTGCAGTGCTCTCAGGGCCTCGGAGCACTAAGTGCCCGGCAGGGGCAGCGTGGGAAGGAAGGGGGCTCTGTGGGAAGTGGGGACAGGGGGAAGAGTCCACCCTCACACCTGCCCCTGCGGCCCCCACTGGAGCATCAGAAGCTGCAATTAGCAGGTGGCAGCGCTGCTTGAACCTGCCATTCCACTCCTCCAGGAGGCCGGGCAGCTCCCAGCAGCTTTGCTATTTTTCTGCAAGAAGAGGTCAGAAACAGAAGCATTCAGGTTGTACCTGGCTATACCTCTCTCGGTGTGAAGCCTGTGCCCAGCCCTGCCAGGCTGGGCTTGCAATTATGGAAGCATGGCTAGCTGCAGAGGGGCCAGTGCCCAGCCAGCAGCCCCCCTGACCCCTTCCCCTAATCAGGTCTGGCTGATGCGGGCTGGCCGGCAGGGTTGGCCGCACTCCCCTTGCTTCCACCTGACCCCGTTGCTGCTCCTGGGGAAGGAGCTCAGCCCTTGGTCCCAGCAAGTTTGTGGCCATCTGGACAGAAGGTGGCAGCTCCAGCTCCGTGTTCACAGCATTCTGGATTTTCTTCATGCCACCGGCAGGCTGCTGGGAGAGAATATTCGAGCTATCTCCCAAGTCCCTCTGTAGACCGTGCCTGAGCTGGGTGTGGCTGAGCGTGCTGTGGGGGCTGCGAAGGGGTACACCTGAGCGAGGCGTCAGAGACATGTGTTCTGGAGTGGTGATCTGCTGAGCAATTAGGCTTCTAGCTCTGGGTGTTGCGTGTGCATTCAGACTAGGACTGCACCTTAGGGTACTGTGTCTGGGGAGGCAAGGATGGGGGAGGGATGAGGAAGTGGGACGAAGCATGAGGGTGAGAGGGCAGGTGGATGAACCTTGATCCTCCCTGAGGCCGAGGAAGGGAGGGGGGCACTGTTACACAGCATTCTCATCTTGGCAGCTCACTCTAGGCTTTGTAGCCCTTCTCCCTGGGAGTGCCACTGCTAGAGTGGTCATATTTGGTTCCAAATGGCCTGGATTTGGGGCTGTGGCTGATGTTTTATTTGGAGTTTTAGGAAAAATGGTACAGATTGACAGCATTTGAGTTAGCTCAATACAACCTTGAAAACTACTCTGGAAGAACTGGATCCAGGCTGCAAGGGTAAGAGGTACCCTAAACTCCCCCAGGCCTCCTCCGAAGGGGACCCCCTCTATCTGAGCCTGCCAAAAAACAATAGGGAAGGGAGAACTTTGGACACTAATTAACACTTGGGAAGGAATTTCATTTTGCTTGTTGATTTCTATGGAGGAACTTAATGATGGAGAGAAGCATGTGAGGTTCAAATTTGGGGGAACTTTTCCATCGCTGCTTAGGCTTCATGACATGTTCTCTGTGAGGTGCATTGTGAACCCCTCTGCTGAACTAGGGGGGCAGTGCTGCTGGTTGTAACTTAAGGTGGGGACACAGAAGGGGGTGGCAGTGAATTTTGGTTTAACTGTGTAGAATGGACATTAATGGCCTTGGAGTCCATTAATGTCCTATTCTAACCCATTTAGGAGGCTTGGGGGGCTGCAGCTGCGCCAGTAGGTATCAGAGCTAGGAACACTACTGTATGGAAGGGGTGCTGATTGAACCCCAAGGGAGGCAGCCATGCCCCTGCCAGACAGACCAGAAAGTCAGAGGGACAAGAACCGGGTGACTAGTGAAGGACACGTTTCACTCCCCTTTCCAGAGCCTGGTTGTCCTCTGATCACCATCCTCCTAGTTCCCTCTGGGAGGGCTTTGCCAAGCTACTCAGTCAGAACCCAAAACACTGATGGGGGCACAGCCTGAGTGGGCACCAATTCAGGTTCATGGCACCTTGCTGGCCCAGGCAGGACACGCCCCCTGAGTCCTGAGGCCACCTCTCCTCTGCTCATCCCTTCTGGTTCCATGGCGCTGGGAGGAGAGGGGGACTCAGACCCTTTCCTGGGGTGTCTCTCTCTTTCCTCCAGGCCCATCTGAAGTGCTGGTGCCATGTGTAGATCTGGGAGAGTGACAGCCCCGCTGAGGACGCTGAGCTGCTGCTCCATGTTCCAGTGCCCGGGTCCCTCCACTGAGCCCACGCTGCACTGGGGCGCCGGCAGCCGCACAGCACAGCGCAGCTGCTGAGGATGCAGGGGTCCTGCCGCTGGGCCATTGCTCCCTCAGGAGCCCGCCGGGAGCGTGGCATGCGGGGTGGGACGCAGGTATTCCTGGGTCCCAGGAATCTGTCCCTGGCAGAAATCATCGCTAATAGCACAAAGCCTCACCCTTAACCTAGAATGGTTATTAACATATTAATTAATATTTAAAAACTCATTACGCCTTGATGATGGCTTCCTTAATCTGCTTTTATATTAATTGCAGCCACCCAGGAGCAATAACCATACTTATGTGGCAAAATGGAGTCATTCTACTTAATTACCGAGGAGGTTTTACAGGCAGTCTTCAAAGCCCACAAACAATCAGAGAGTTGATGTGATGTCTTCTTTTTAGATTTTCTTTTAAATTGGCTGCTGTCATGGTTAGAAAGTATTTTCTTCTGTTGAGCTGAATGCTTCCCCTCAACACCCCTTTCCCTCGCCACCATGCCAGCCTGGGGCACCCGGTCCCCCACACGCAGGCCCCCAGGAGGGCCTGTCCCGAGGCTGCGGACCTGGGGTAGGGGGGGCTCTAACACCCTCCCCGCACCTGGGGCAGCCACCCCCGACAGCACCACAGGCTGAGGTCCCCGGGGCTGGCAAACCCTCTCCTCTCACAGGGTCTGCCTCTGAGTCCAGGCTGAAACTCCAGAGCTCTGTCCGTGGTGGCACCAGTCTTCTGGGTGGGCTGTGCCTTCAACCTTCTCCGTTCCCCGAGGGGTGATCCTGCCAGGCTCCGGCCACAGTATCCCACCTCCCTGTTACTCGCAGGCTTGTTTCTGAGCCACTTCTCCCTCAAACCAATGTCCAGCTCTAAAATGGGCCACACAGCCACTACCTGCCAGCTTTGCCCACTGCCCATGGGGTCTTTCGACAGCAGTAGAGGCAGCTTGTGTTCGGTTTGCTGGGGCAGTGGCAAGCAGGAAAGGTGATGGGACAGAGGCCACAGCAGGGCCTGCTTACATCCCTCCTGCCTGTGTGGGAAGGACTCAGCCATCTGTCCCTGGGCACCTCTGGGGATTTTAGGATTTCTGTCATCTCCAGAGGGGCTGGACGCACAGCTTGGGCAGGGACCCCAGTCACAAGAGCCTCAGCTGCTTCCTTCAGCTCCAAGGTGACAGAGGTGCTCAGGGTGGCATCCAGGCCACATGAGCCAGGAGTGCTGAGGCTGGGCCCGAGTGGAGCAGGCGTGGCATCCGTCTGGGAGACCGCCCGGCAGGTGCCTGGCAGCCCTGCACACACACTGCTCCCACATGGCATTACTGCTGGGCCCCGGCCCCGGGGAAGCCCCTGGGGCCGGGACAGAGTCAAATGGTGTTGAGAGATGGAATCAGTTTCCTGTGCTTTAGAAATTGTGGTGCAGTGACAGGCAGGGAGATTAGTGACTCCCTCCCGCGGTGCTGATAACACCGGGGCTCATCCATCACCGGGCAGGGACAGCCTCAACCGTTCAGAGCCCTGGCGGCTCTAAGGGGTCCCCTGAGGCCCTCAGGTCCTGGTGAAGCCGTGGCCCTGGACAAATGTAGGTCAGATCTAGCTTGCGTCGACCTGAGTCCGGACTGAGGTCAAAGTAGGGGCATTAAAAGTAGGGGTGGGGGCGGAGTGACGCTTATGGCGGGGGCTGAAGTCAGGCAGGGTAGGTTTTAGGGGAAGGCTGGATTTAGGAGAGGAGTCAGGACTTGGGAATAGAACTGGTGCTCGGTTTCAGAGGGAAGGTGTTTTGTCCTGGATGGGGGTAGAGTTGGGGGTTATGTGTGTCAGGGTGTGGGGACTCCTCACTTAGGGGGTCCTTGTTTAGTCATCTGGGGACTCAAGAGAGGGCAGGACCAGGCATACCATCCCCAGGGTCACCTTCCCCTCAGGATCAAGCCTCGGGATCACCTAGGGCTTCCTCCCCTTGTTTCTAGTTCAGTATTCTGACCTTTCTATTCCTGTCCTTGTCCCCTGTCACTTATGTTGCTGCCAGTGTGGGCAGCACTGCCATCTCCAAAGGACAGTAATTCTTCATCTTCCCTCTTTTCCTCTCTGGCAACAGTCATGGCCACCAGCCCACACCTGCCACTTGGCTGCAAACCCTGTCCCCAGCTCTGGTGGAGGTTCCTCTGTGACAGGCCTGGCCACCCCGTCTTTGGTCACCCATGGATCCCCACTGTCCAGCCCATCCCTTCCTCCCTGAAGGCCAGAGCCACTCTTAGAGTCTTCAAGTGCAAGATGAGGGTGGCTGGCAACATGAGAGTGGCATGGAGAAGACCAAAGTCCCTCAAAGGAAGGGGAGATGTGGGCTGTCACCCCGAGTGCACCTGTTGCATGGCCCAGCCACCGTGGGGTGGGGCAGGAGCAGTCCCTCTGTTCAGCCAGAGGCACCCACCGTTTCAGGGCTGCTCGGGTTGCTGAAGCAGGAATGCAGACAGAGGCGGACTCAAGGTACAGACTCCCACACAGGCTTCTGGGGCCACAGTGAGACAGACCCGTCTGGAGATAAGCTTGATGGAGAGAGAAAAGCTTTTCTAAGTTCCAAAAGCTCTTTTCACACAACTGAGTCAAGCCTGGCTGCCTCAGACCTTAGAGTTTTCCTCCTAGCCACAGCACAAGGAGAGTGGAGGATGACACAGAGCAAGTCCCCCGCCACAGATAGAAGAGGTGGGAAATGGAGCCCCTGGAATGACAAGCAGGGAGACAAGTCTCAGGCATGGCTATTCTGGTTGCCCCCCGCTGCTGAAGCACACGGGAAGGGGACTCAGTCACCCAGATGGGTTCCGGGGCCCTCCCAGCAAGGAGCAGCGTCTCCTGTCCTCTCAGGGCTGAGACTGGGAACAGGCTGGCTCCTCTGGAAAGCTCCAGGCTCCACAGGGGCCAGGCAGGAAGCACCACCCACGCCGTGGGAAGGTGTCTAGGCAGGTGAGCTGAAGGGCAGCCTCACAGCGTCTCCCCACACTCTGGCACAGCGGGGAGAGAGAATTCGGAAATCCCAGGCCTGAAAGGGGCCCAGGGGAGAGTGAGGGAGGGTTCACATAGGCCAGGGGTCGGGTCAGGTATTGGAGGGTGCGGAACATTGGTGCTATTTGCCAAGTATTACGGTTTCTCTCCCCTTCCTGGCATGCAGCAGGACTGAGCTCTGGCTCCATGGTGGGGCCCTCTGAGTACTTCTGGTCAAAGTGTCGTGAGCAGAAATGACACCCGCCACTCCCAGGGTGGAGCGTTCAACTGTTGACGTGAAAGCCTCCGTTGTGCTTTTTTTCTCTTGGCTGTAGTCACTAGTGATGTCCCCGATGGTGGCTGCATCATTAGCCCGGGACCTGGAGTGAAGATGTGATGATATGGAAAGAGTCCCCAGCTGATCTGTGATGACATGATCAGGAACTACGCCTGTGTGGCACGTCACAGAGACTGTGGGGAGTGTTTGTTATCACAGCACAACCTAGCTCATACACGGCCAGCGCAGAATGCACCACCAGAGGCCAGGACAGGGTTCAAGGGCTCAGCACCCACGTGGGCTCCAGGAGCTGGTTTCCAGCCACACTGAGACCAGTGAAGCCCAAGGGTGGCAGCAGGGCCAGATGCCTTTCCTGGTGCCACCATGGGACATGCGAGCCCCTCTTCAGGCTGGCGTGTTAGGAAGAAGGAAGTAGAACGAAGATAGATGGAAAGAGGAGAGAACTGACTGGTCCTGACAGACAGTGTGAATTTTGAAAGACTGTTTATGCAAAAGATGTGGCGTTAACCTGAAAGAGACTCTTTTAAACTGGAAAAGGCTGAGCTGTCTTTAATTGGTAAGTTAAAGCATTTCCCCTCATCTGTGGGAATATGAGCTCAAGAGCAAGATGAGATGAATTATAGAAAATAAAGGTCTATGATTTTGCACATCTGAATGTATAAAATCTTGCAATTTTATGCCTGCCAAACTCAGTTCAATCTGACTCCAGAGGCTGGGCCTTGCTGTGTCTTATTGTCCCTAGACAGCTCGTGTCCCCCAAATGCCATCCTCCACGGAGGAAGAGGCTCCAGGGGCTGTGTGCCTGGCCCAGAAAGACGAGCTCAGGGGTGGGCATTGGGGGGGAGGGGCAGGAAGAGGCCCTTTCATGTGGCTGGTGAGTCCTTTGTCTTAGAAACCTGGGTCCCCCTGACTCCTCCTCCCACTCACAGCCCCCCACATCCTCTGGCCTTGACCATGTGCTGGCCCCTCCAGACTCCCCTTCCCCACCCTGCCCTGTGCCCCAGGAGGCTGACTGGAGGGGCTGCTTCATGTTGTTATGGTTCCTCTCCTCCCACCACTCCTGCCCTGCAGGGTCACTGTGGGCCCCTGAGTCCTTTAACTGAAGGGCAGCCCCTCCTATGTGGCACCACGTGGCTCCTCCCTCTGGTTCCAGTAGCCTCTCCCCTTCCTCTGTTCTGGCCTCAGGGTGGTAATGTCCCCCCACTGTTCCCAGCTCTAGGGGATAACGCCAGCTTCTATAGTTCTTTACCCTGGTCACACCTGTGAAAATAGTCCACTGTTAAACTCTTCTCACAGGACTCAGTTTGAGGCCCATCTGTTTTCCACCAGCACGTCACTGATAGAACCTCCCTTGAAGGGCTGCTGTAAGCATTGGAGGTAATGACTAGAAAGCACAAAGATCAAGCACTGAGTGCACAGTCATCACTCGATACACACGAGCTATAATTGACTGGTGCCTCCTAAATGTGGCTGGAGCATCATTTCCCTCTGTCCCCACTGCCGCTCTCTGGGGAGAGGTCTCCATCATCTTTTTCCCACCCCTTTTAATTGTCCTTCTCGGCCTCCCTGCCTCCAGCCTCACCCCTTTCCTCCTCTACCAAGTGATGCCGCTGCAGCTCACCTCCCAGCATGCCACTCCCCTGTGGAGAGCCCTGCAGCGCCCCGGGGGAGGCCGAGCTCCCAGCCTGGCCCTCAAGGCCCTCCTGGACCGTCCCCACCCATCAGGCACACAGGCAAAGAGGCTCGCTTGACACCTCCCTGGTGAGGGACCATGTTCCCCACCTCCCCGGCTTCCCTGTGCTGGGGCTCTCAAACCACGTGCTATGGACATGTTTTCCTGCCTGTCTCCCTCATTAGGCTGTTAGCTCCATGAAGATCCGTGTTCTATCTCTTAGCATTTCCCAGCATCCGGCCTAAGCCTTGGCCAGCAAGTGCTCAATACATATTCGTGGAAGGAAGGAAGG